TGCAGTCGACTGTGGTCACAGTCCACCCAATTTCTTATGTTCGGGATCAGCATTTTCGTCCACTGTGCCACATCCTCCGTGTTGTTCCATTCTTCTTGCCATCTTTCAATTGACCTTTCCCTTTCCTGTCTTCTCTCGGCCACAGTAAGGTTTGCTTACTAAGCTTTGTTTTTAAAGTTTTTAAGTTTGCTTTTTAAGCCTAAGTGATCTGGAATACGCCGACGATATCTGTCTGTTAGAACAAAGATTTCAAGATGTGACTGATCAATTGGAAACACTTTCCACTGATACCAATTAAGTAGGTTTAAAAATCAATATTAGTAAAACCTAATCCATGAGAGTAAATGCAAGAAACAACACTCTATTTACTATAAACAACATGCAGATTAAAAATGTGGAAAACTTTACTTATCTTGGAAGCGTGATAAGAGAAAACGGATGTACAGATTACGATATTCGTATGAGGATACGAAAAGCTCAACAAGGATTCAGCATGCTCAACATTGTTTGAAGATCTAGCGAGTATACTACAAGGACAAAGATCCGCATATTCCAGTCAAATGTCATGTCTATTCTACTCTACGGATGTGAAATCTGGTAAGTGAGAAACTATCCTTACAGATAAACTGCAGGTCTTTATTAATAAATGTCTACGATTAATTGGTTGTATTTTCTGACCTAACATCATCAGAAACGAAGATCTACTACACCTGACCGAGAACGATTCTCGAAGTGTGAGATGTCAAATAAACTTAATTTTAAAGTAAAAGTGTGGCTTATTCCCAACAAAAATAGTAAATTGCGATAAGATGTCAGAAGAAAATAGCTTCAGAACAATATTAACTTTTTTGCATATATACGATTGATGGAGACTTTTCACATTCCATGTATAATGGTGTTGCATCTGTACCAATCTTTAGCTCTATGCGAATTTTTGTAACTTTACCCCTATTTTTGGGCTAACTTGACCGGATTATAAACCTTAAATGGGCTTTTAGAAGTTTTTACATCATTCAATTGCATCCTCAAATTATATAAAACAGGACAGACCCCGCCGGATGTCCTATATTTTATTTATATGGGTTAGACAGTCAGTCTTCAACTCACTGTACTTAATGAGGTCAATAAAATTGGCTACGCTTTTAATGGCCGCTGAAATATATTTTGATAGCGTACTTAGGAGTCGTAAATATTTATGGTAAATAGCATTTTACCAAGAATGTACATCAAATTACGAAGGAAACATATGAGTGTAATAATATAAACCTATTTTTTATTTATGCATTTAAGGTTTATGCAGACAATAATCTTCGTAAATACCCCAATCTAGAAAAAAAAAATGTGTGAAATAAATATTGGGAACCATTCTAAGTAATATGGGGAATATGTTTTGAAATAGCGTTAAATAATTTTCACGAAGGTGTTAGAATTTGAAGACCCTCAAACCCTGTTGATCGCTGTAAACAACCAAAACACTGAAAAGGGCTTAACAATCAACGCAAATATAACAAAATGGATGGGGGTCGAAAAAATTAATATTGAAGACTCAGTCCTAAAATTATACCTAAATAGGTACCTATAACAAAATCCTGGAAAGGGTGGAACACTTTAGATATCGGCGTAGTTGAATTGACTGGAGGGTTGAAAGTAACGAGGAAATTACGACCAGAATAGTACTTGCACAAAAAAGTTTTATTAACTTACGTTCTGTATTGAGCAGTAGAAGTCTGTCATTGACTTCTTCTTCTTAAAGTGCCTTCTCAATTACTGAAGGTTGGCTATCACTACAGCAAATTGCTGTACCTCTACTGGAATCAAAGAGCACAAATCGTAATAGATACCTAACGAACCCAGTCCAGAAATTGAAATAATGAGAGAAGTTAGGCAGGGATGTAGTATGTCCCCATTACTATTTAATGTAGGTATATAGTGAAGCCATTTTTGAAGAAGCATTACTATCTCAAAGTGAAGGAATAATAATTAACGGAAGATCTATTAACAACATAAGATATGCAGATGACACCGTGATTATGGCAAGCTCTGCTGAACAACTCCAATTTCTGCTAAACAAAACAAACAATTTCTGTGAAAAATATGGACTAAAAATGAATATAAAAAAGACCAAATACATGATAATAACAAAAAAAAACAAATATACCGACAAACATATATTTGGGAAATGTACTGATAGAAAGGGTTGATAAATACAAATACCTAGGAACCTGGATTTCAGACAATAATGACCAAACATCCGAAATATGAGCTAGAATAGAAATAGCAAGAAATGCGTTTGTAAAAATGAAAACAATTCTCTGCAACAAAGATTAGAGAACTGAGAGTAAGAGAACTAAGATGCTACATGTTTTCGATACTGCAATATGGACTTGAAAGCTGGACATTGAAGCAAGAACACATAAATAAGTTAAGTTAGAGTTCTTTGAAATGTGGTGTTACAGGAGGATGCTTAGAATAGCATGGACACAGAAGAAAACTAAAACAGAAATATAGTGAGAAATAGGCAAATAATGTGAAATAATAAACACAAAAATAAAACAAATAAAAAAAGAAAGTTACAATATCTGGGTTGTAATGAGGGGACAGAGATATGAACTGCTAAGGCTTATAATACAGGGAAAGATAAGAGGAGAAAGGAGAGTGTCATGGTTGAAGAATTTAAGGGACTGGTTTAAATGCAGTTATATAGAACTCTTCAGAATAGCAGTAGATAAAGTAAAGATAGTGATAATGATATCCAACCTCCAATTGGGAGACGCCACTTGAAGAAGAAGAACCACAAAATAAGTTAAAAATATGTTTAATGTTTAAATTTCCACTTCAGACTCAAAATACAAAGTTGTATTTTGAGAAAGTTTTCAGAAGATCCAAATGGCAAAATAAATGTATTCTCAGAACAATGTGTATAAATTATGACATCCAATAACTAATGTTATTTATCATCTGTAATTGGAATTAACCACAATTTTAGTTGAAAATACATTTATTTATTTAAAAGAGTAGTTTAAGAAGTATTTTTGACCTAAATGAAAATACAAACTAGTTGAAAAAATTTTCAACTAAAATTAATTTTAATCCCCATAAAAGATAATGAAAAGTATTACAGCTAAAGATAGCTAATGAAAGCTAAAAGGATATATATTTACTTTAGAGTGAAAACATAATGAATTGAAAAATTCCAATGAAAGGTAAATTCTGTACCACTATATATTAGCAATTATAAAATAAGAATGAATATATGTCAGATAAGTGGCCATATGTTGAAATTATAAGAACATGTGTAACTTAGAAATGTGAATAAGCAAATAGAATATATGTTAAGTTACTGGAAATACAGAGGAAACGAGTCAATATGCATGTAAAGAGGAATAATATTAGTATGGCCCAAGATAGAAATATATAAAATGTAAATAGACAAGTGAACCTACATAGTAGTAGAGATAAAGGAAAGATTATGGTATTTATCAAATAAAATTTTTATTATATTTAATATAGTGAAATTTTTCATAGCTTTAGCATAAACATCAAAGGAAAAATTAAAATGAAAACTAAAATTTATCTGAAATATTTATTCTTGTAAAGTCTGTACAATATCACGTGCTCTCTTTAACTTGTTTTGATATTCCTCATCAGGATTGTCATCATCTGCTTTATCATTTTCAATTAGTTTCAGTGCATCTCTTAATATTAAATTTCTAACGAATCCCCTAGAGTTTGTATAGTATTCTAATGTTGTTGTCCAAAACTCTTCAGGAATCTTTGCAGAATCAAACAGATTCTGTGAGAGCCATATCTGTTTCAATTTCTCAAATTTCCACTCACTTCTACTATGCTTCCATTTTGACAGATAATTAAGAACACTTTCTTGTGTGACTAGGGTGGCTTTCAATTTTTTAGCAGCTTGTAACTCCATATGTTTTTTTCGTTTCTTGGCTCTTTTAGATTCTGCAGTATTTTCTGTAGGATTTTCTAATGCATTAGTAGGATCTCCTTCGTCTTTCACATCTTCGGAATTGACTTTCTTTTTCTTCTTGGATATTTTGTCTGGATCTAGATTAACATCACTTATTTCATTATTAACCCCTTTCTTTTTCTTTTTAGAAGCCTTTGATACAGCATTCAACTGTTGGGAATCCTCTTGTACACTGTCATCTATTTGAACTTTTGTTTTATTTTTCTTTTTTGGAATTTTTATAATTTTGTCTTGGGATATATCTCTTATTTCATTATTAACCCCATTCTTTTTCTTTTTAGAAGCTTTTGATACAGCAATCACCTGTTTGGAATCATCTTGTACACTGTCATCTATCTGACCTTTTAATTTATCTTTATTTTTCGGGCTTTCTATACTTCTGTCTTGAGATATATCTTTACTTTCAAAAGTACTTTCCTTACTATTAGTATGTTTAGTTTTTTGTTTTTTAATTTTATTTACATTAGTTTGTGGCTCTTTTTTGTCACTACTAACTTTCTCTTTACAGGATTCTGATTCAATCTTTGATAACACTTCTGTAGCTCTATCTTTGCTTATTACCTCGTGTTCAAAACTGACAATACCCTTTCTTTGTTTATTTTTCTTACTTGATTTTGTCTTTTTCGGCTCGTCCTGCGTTTCAATTCCCATTTTAATAAAAACGTGCCTCTACAATTTCTGGTCACACATAGGTAATATTGTTAGGTTATGTTTTTATTTAAAGGTTAAGTTATATGAGTTTACTCGGCTCCTCTTCTTTTACTTCATATCTTTTTTGAAAAAAATTTTAAATTTAGATTAATTTTAAATCGTTCGTTGTATCCATTAAATTACATAAGAACATTTTGTAGTTTCATACATTAATTAGAACTTTATAGAATAAAATGCTTTCTGTTGATTGTTGTTTTGGCAGCAAAATCCATTAAACAAACGTTAATACCGGTTTTCTTGTCATTGCATAATGTCACTGTCAAGTGCCAACTGCCAATATATTATGTCATTTTTGACATGACATGAATAAAGCTAATGGCTAACGCTTGTAAACTAACTACTAAATTATTGGGGATTTCAGATTTCATAGTTATGGCTACTATATTTTAGGCCGAACTCCCGATCAATTAAGTTCTTAATTGCTAATTTCGTTTAAAAAACTGTTCTTTTTAGTGTATTTAAGTATACAGCATTTTATGGTAACTCAAGTATAAGGTGAGTGACCCTCTTAATACCATCTCTGGTCCACCGTTTGTTTCTCAAATCTAGCAATTATACTGAAAACATAATGCAAAGTTTCTTAAAATTTTACTGACTTTATATGATATAAGGAAAATTGATGTGAGATAGGCAAGAACACCATTAGAGTTACTTATGTGTATCATCAAACTACTACATACTTTGATCAATTCCTCAAAAAAAAAAAAAATAATTCAATATTATATTCTTTTGTAGATCTTCACAACAATGGCACTTCCAGCCAACTACAAGCAGGTGGCAATGCAGGTCACAAATACACAATCTTCAAATCGTAAGAGCCTCTATTAGAGTATTCTGTACTAATATATTTTTCAGAATAATTTTTATTGTTAGTAGTTTTTCAGCAGTATAAATTTAGTTGAATTGTATTCTAATTAAGCTTAAGGTCGCATGTGTATTATTGATCAAGATGCCATTTGGATAAGAGTTTTAAAGTATGCATCTGAAGTCTATTATTACATTAAAAGCATGATTAATTTTTATTTATTTTGTATATCTTTAAGAAGCCTGATATACTACAGTTTTCAGAAATGTATCACTACATTATTTAAAATTGATTAAAAATGATTTTTTATCTTTAAATATATTTTGAAAATGGCTTAGGATGGCCAAAACATCAAAATAATGTATTTAAACTTTTTAAATTGTAGTTAATATATCATTTTAATAAAATTTAATAATTCCTTAAATATCTTAAACCTAATAAAGTTCAAACCAAACCTTTCTTTCGTTAATTTTTAGGTCATGTAGGATTTTAAAAATTTTTGTTCTTTGATTTGTATATTTGTATGGATTGGAAGTCTTTGGAATTAAGGAGGGATTGTGCAAGAGTGATTTTTTATATAAAGTATTACTCAATTGGACAGATTGTCCAGGTAGTTTGATGAAAATATATTTTAATGCTCCATTGTATAACAACTGCAAAAAATGTTGTGGTTTGCAAAAGAATTATTTTAATATATATTCAACATCCATAGCAGTAATATTCTAAGGTGTTTCCTCAATATTATTTCCGAATTCGCAATCTGATTCATATAAATCAATGAGTACAGGGGATATTTAGTTGTCATCAATTATTGCTGCTGTCTCCTCTAGATTCATTTATATTTTCTACATGCCTTAGATATTTCGTCCATTTCTTTAAATGTAACCACAATTATTATCTAAAAATTTTAGTACTCCTGAATTACCTTTTGTAAAGCTTCTTTCCAAATACTTAACATATTACTTTCTTTTACAGTACCTGCAGAAGTTATTTTGGCATCACAATATCTTTTAGAATCAGACCAAACATTCTCGATTGGGTTAAACTGGTAATAATATGGAGGCAATCTTAATACTTGATTACCATATTGAAGTGCCAGTATATCTAATTTGTAAAATAAAACAAATATAACCTCATTTATTAAATATGTATTAATACATACTACTTTAAAACTTTATCTGGTAAATGTGTTTTTATAATCTTAATTATTAATTAATGATTAATTCAAGTTTCATCAATGTGTTGAAAAATATATATGCCTCTCTTTTAACCATTATATTAAAATAATAGTGTTTGGTCCAACTTGAATTTTGTAGTTTTTCCACTAAACTGGAATGCTAAAATGCATTTTCCCTAATTATTAATGATAATTCTTCTAAATTTGGCAAAAGTTGATAACTCAAATAATTTTTCAAAATTTTCTGAATTCATTTAATTATCATGAAATAAGCTGTCATTAATACAATTTTCCATAGCAAATATTTCTGAAAGGTGGTCAAACTTGTATTATTACCAAATATATAAACTTCTTTAAATTGAACTAAGTACTTTTCTTCAAAATCAAATTAATATTTTAATAGAAACCTTCACTAAATATTCTATATATCTATGAATTACTCATTGCCACAGAGTAGTTAGCATATGTTTGAGTATCTTCACTAGAATATTTAAAATACTATTATTATTTTTAGATTAATTTAATGAATATCTTCACTAGAATATTTAAAATACTATTATTATTTTTAGATTAATTTAAAACTTACTTCACGAACAACAGAAACTGGTAATAAAGTTGTTCCTACATCTTTTTCTTATTGAAAATAATTTAATAATTTTAATATCAGTGTTTGTACTTGTTAATGTTAATCTTGGCATATTTTAATGAGAAAATGAATAAAAATAAAGTGAAATTTTCAACATGTCAGAAAACATTAACCTGGATGACAATTATTGTCATTTTACCCATTGACATTGTGAGAGTACTGTCACAATGAAGTACTTTTGCCTCAAATTATCTTTATTCACATCATTGATTGGTTGTCAATTTAGCATATTCTAAACTTCAACCAATGATGCATCCATAAGTAGAACTTATATATAACGAACTTACCCTTTTTTCTGTCACTTCCAACTTAATGTGTTAAAGAGAATTTGATAAACTATAACGCAATGAAATAAGGGCTTGGTTGAACTTTACTCGTAGGCTATTTACTTAAAACTTTAATATTAAGATGAATATGTCAATTCTTGACTTTTGTGTTAACAAATCATAGACTGTTTAATAGGAAATGTAAAAGTCAAGTAGATGAATCAATCACATTGATTCTTTAACCATGAGTTATGCCTTCAACAACAGATCTTCTTTGAATCTTTTCCCTGTATTATGAGTCTCAAAATTTCATATTTTGGTCCCCTCATCACTTGGCCTAGGTATTCCAGTTTTCTGGTTTGTGTAGTGGTGATTAGTTCTGTTTCTTTACCAACCCTATCCAGTACTTGTTTATTCGTAATTCTATCAGTGCATGATATTTTTAATACTCTGATACTTGGTCCAATGTATGCCAATAATACCTGCATTGTATACTTTAGCAAAAAGCCCAACTAGGCAAAGAAATAATTTAATTTGTCCAGTCTGGTTAAAAAAGGTCAAAAAGTTTTTCGCAGATATCTGAAGCTTTTAAGACATAGGTGGTGGTTACTAGATGGCGAATAGATGAAAAAGTACTTGTATTTTTACCTTGCGTTTATTTAAACAGTAATTTATGGTCACAATTTAATTTTTTCTCTATAATTTTTTTCCTTTATATGCTATACCCCAAAATTAACGCATAGTTTTAAAAACCCTGGCAAATCAAATAATTTTAATGTTTCGATTTTTGTGATGTTATTGTTACCTCCGCATTTTTTTGAAAATTTTTATTTTGAATATAATTGGGTTGAATTACGTTGTGCTGAACGTTTAAAGGGGTTTTTCAGGTTTATTAAGTGTTTTTTCTTTGAAATGAACCACCAGCAGCAAGAAATTTGTCAGAAAGTGACTGTTTTAGAATCGCTACTCTTCATGAAGAAGGATACACTAAGTAGATCTCGCTGAACGTTTTAACGTCACCCAGTCAAACATTTCAAGAGTGTTAACGCGTTTTTTTGTTACTGGAAGTAACTCGAGAAGACCCGGTCAAGGCCGTAGAAGGGTTACAACTCCTAATGAAGACCGGTTTTTGACACTTAGTACACTGAGTCAAAGGTTTGTTACCAGTACTTCTCGACAAAATGAATTTTTGGATCGTTATAACTTTAGAATCAGCCAAAATACGATTAGAAGAACACCTGCCGAAAACGACCTACACCCTGGAAGGGCACCGATTGGCTCATTATTGACCAGAAACCATAGAAGGCAAAGATTGATGACAAGAGAAACCAAGTGTATAGAAGGCCTAGGGAACGCTACTCACAGTGTAACACCGTAGGGACTGTACAGTATGCCGGCGGCTCGGTAATGGTGTGGGGTGGGTTTAATTTAGAAGCTCCTACGGAATTAGAATAGATCGCGGTCGGCTTACATAACAGACATTTTATAATAGCATGGCGTGCCATTTGCACAATTGGGGATAATTTCATGCTTCAAGAAAATGCCAGGCCCCACACGGCAGAATTGTGCAGCAGTGTCGTCAGGAGGTTAGAATTTATGCCATGGATTGACCTGCGAGAAGTCCTGACCTCAACCCAGTGGATCAGGTTTGGGACGTCATAGGCAGACGACTACCTAATGCACGAACACATTAGATGAACTGTTTTTGCGGTTGGTTAAAATTTGGGATCAAATTGATCAAGAATAAATCAGAACGATTATTCTCAGTATGAGAGATCGTTTTCAAGCAGTAGTAAATGCCAGAGGAGGCAATACTAGATACTGGTACACAGTACTAGTTATTTTCTTCAACTATAAAAATTTCAATTTCGTCATTAATTTATAATGTTAGTTTCTTTATATCAGTTGTTTGTTTAGATGTTATGATGTTATATTGTTAATTTTAATACATTTTTTGTAAAAAAGAAAAGTTTTTTATTTAAGATGTTCGAAAGCAATAAAGCAGAAAAGAACAAACAAACATTTTTTCATTACAACTCAAATAGAATTTTAAAATTATGCGGTTATTTTTGAGCGCAGTGTATTTTACATAAACAATATTTATATCAAGAATATCTTTATTTTCCCGTTTTTTAAATTAAAATTGATTTTTATTAATTTTTTTATTAACAAAATAAAATATTATTAATTCATTTGAACATCCAGGAATTACCGTCTTTTAAATTTGTGCGAAATTTCCCCCTGATCGTTATTTAGTTTATTTATCACTGAGGCTAAATATTTAAACTATTGAACTTGCTCTATTAATGATGCTAGACACATTTAGCAAATTTCATAGGATTCTTTAAGACTTAAACTATCTCAGAAGTTAAATGCATATTGTGTTTTCATCGAAATTATTTACAAAATAAACTTTTGAAAAAGTGGTGTGTTTTTTACTTAATAAACTATAAACCATTGTAATAACTTCTATATTTTTCAAGCTACAGACTTGTACGTACAATCATTGGATAGTTGGTAAAAAAACTCACATTTAAAAAAAACCTATGAGCAATAGGAACGAAGGGACTATTTTCATAGTCCCCATATGTGGGGGATATGTCTTAAAAGCTTCAGATATCTGCAAAAAATTTTGCCGTGAAATTGATGATTTTTGCATAACTAGACTGGGATATAATGATATCTGTACACCATATACAAATTGTTTGCACAGTTGAACCATATCTTATTCAAAATGTTTAATGTGCCAAAGTACTTATATTAGTGTTTGTATTATATATATATTTTTCTCATTTGGCCCACATAGCCTTCGTTTAAGGTCTGTAATTATATATTTAGCCTTTTTGTAGATGACTTTTATACTTTCATGGAATGAATAAATATTAAAGAAAGACAAACTAAACTTCGCCGTTTCCTAAGCAAAAACAGCACATTTTGAAGCAAATAGAAGGGTTTTAAATTTAATAAACCTACTAATTTATATGTATATATTAATTTATTATATGTATATACAATATTTATACATTTCTTGGTTGTTATGTGATCAATATGTTTAAACTAAACAGACATGGAGGTAAGTCATGGCCTCTTAATCTCCCAACACAATTACATTCCTATTAATTTACTGATGTGTTTGCTGTTCAAAGGCTGCAATACTGTTTTCAAAATATAATTTAATTTTTAATTCATGTCATAAGTTGTGTAAGTAAGATATCTAACTTATGTTAATGATATATCAAATGATCTAGTTCTAAAACTAATGCGATATATTTTTGAAAATGACTGTAGTATTCTGTAGATTAGAGCTCATTGCTTCGTTTGTGTTTGTTGTTCAGATTTGCTGTCGGCAGGTGCGCCCATGACTTTCAACATATTGAAAGGTAACTGCGAAATTACTTTTTAATAAATAACACTCATCTATTAATATTCATCAAAATTCATTTGTGTAAAAGTATATTTAAAATTTAGGTATTCGATAGATTGAACTTAAAATCCAAGTTTTCATCTTAAAATTTGTTCGAAACTAGTTGAATATTTTGAAGATTACTACTTTGGTTGTACTGCTTGCCACATGTCTTGTTGTTTAGTAATAATAAAGTAAGTATATTTGCTCGTGTTATGAAAATGATCATTGTTTTTTTAATAGATAAAGTTGAATTTTTCATTCATAACTTTATTGGACAAAAAAAACAGTATGTATATGATTGAATAAGAAAAAACCAACATTTTTTTACTATTGTTATTAGTATTGTTTACAGTAAAGATTGAATCTTTTTTAATTTATGCAAAAAATTGGGCCTCAATTTCATAAACATGTGCTGGCGCCTCAGTAGTAAGTCTTAATTGTAACTAAACAACAAGTTACACGTATACAAAATATGTGTATCTGAAACCATATTGAAACCAATTTGAATGTACAGTATCTGCTTTCATGGATTTGCAAAATTATCACACATAATCATACAGTAATTTCAATCGAAGATTCTAGGACCAACCAATACACCGTGATATTTCAGCAATCAAATAATCCATATATTCCCTTCTTAAGAGACAAAATATAGCTTGGATAGAGTGCTTCAAGAATGCGCACTTAAGGTTTAATCAAATGTAAAAGCCAAACCAATTGCGTTGAAAGTACATTTATTTTTATCTAAGCCTGTTGATACATAAACAACAAAATCAATTATAATTTGCGAACTAAACATTATTACTTTAATAGAAAAAATGAAACTAAAAAAAAGTGCTTTTGCACACTCTTATAAACCCGCTTTTTAAAAGTACTCATTTTCTCTCTCTCTCTCTCTCTCTCTCTCTCCTCTCTCTCTTCATCTCCTGACCCCCCAGGTGGAGTGTAGTGTCGACGTGATGTCGTGTATTGTCCGTCTCCAGAGATCTCTGTCTCTGGTCATTTCTTTTAATTCATGCATAGGTCTTTGGCATATTCCTGTAATTTGATCTATCCATCTTGTTGGGGATCTTCCTCGTGATCTTCGGCCTTCTACCTTTCCTTGAATTATGAGTCTTTCCATGTTTTCTGTGTTTGCTCTCATAACATGCCCAAAATATTTTAATTGTTGGAGATGGACTTTACTAGAGAGTCGTTGGCTAACTTTTAGCTCTCTTAAAATTGAATTATTTGTTCTACGGTCGGTCCAAGGAATTCGTAACATTCGTCTCCAACAAAACATTTCAGAGGCGTCCATCTTTCTTCTCTCCGATTGTCTCAGAGTCTAAGATTCACATCCGTAGGTCAGTATTGGAAATATTAAGCAGTTGATCAACCTCATCTTTATCGCTCTTGAAATTTGACAGTCCTTCCATATTTTGGTCATTTTTGCTGTGGCAACTTTTGCTAGATCATATCTACGTTTAATCTCTTCTTGTAATGACCCTGTGTTTGTGATTAATGATCCCAGATATAAGTATGAGCTCACAACCTCGAACCAGCCAATTGTGGTTATGGTTGGATGATTGTTGTGTAGTCTATCCACTATCATGATCTTTGTCTTTGATATGTTTAATCATTTAGGATTGTAAAATTGCTCTACGTTTAATCTCTTCTTGTAATGACCCTGTGTTTGTGATTAATGATCCCAGATATAAGTATGAGCTCACAACCTCGAACCAGCCAATTGTGGTTATGGTTGGATGATTGTTGTGTAGTCTATCCACTATCATGATCTTTGTCTTTGATATGTTTAATCATTTAGGATTGTAAAATTGCGCACGTACTTTTATGAAAATAGGTCACAATTATAAGATCCAAGACCTGCGTAGGCATTGCATTTTTCATGCCACCATTCAGAACATGATATGCGCTTAATCCAGTCTTCTGTGATAGATTCTTTAAATGTTTCATTGCACCCGGGACAGCTCCAAATTTTCTTATGAGACGTTGTTTTTAGCTTTGTGAAAACAGCTTTTCCAGTCTTTTGTATCTTCTCTGCCGGTCTGAGGTTCACATCTGATTTCCTTTTTAAACTCCCTCCCAGAAGCACTTGCGGTGGTGGTAGGTTATCTCCAACATCCAATTTGAGTTTGTACTGCTGCTTTTTTCTCATTTTCTTCAATTAGTTGGTCCTGATATCGAGAGCTGGTGATAATTTCTGACTTTTTGCTTCTGCGATTTCTGGATCTAACCACAATTGATTTAGGTAACGGAGAAGTGGTTGTTAATGTAATATAACTTGATGATTTTCCAGTAGTGTTTGATAAATCAAATGGTTTTGTTTTTGGAACTATATCAACTTTTTCTTCCAAAGCTATTGCAGATGTGTTGGAAACCAGATCTGTAAGCTAAGGAGTATTGTTTTTGATCTGTAAAATCCTTCTCGTACAATCGAGTTCAGATGTAGGTATTTCGCGGTTTATGGTATCTCTTTCATTAACATGAATATTTTCCTTAGTAGTGGAATTCCCAAGAACAATAGTTGGGCTGTCAAGAATATCGGGAGTATTTTCAGAGGCTGATTCAGACATTTGATGTGCTTGAATATCGATTTCAGACGTAGAATTCTTAGCGACTCTCGATTGTACGTTAAACGCTTCTAGTTCCGTAGTTACTGCAGCTGTAGCAGGTTCTTCTCGTTCAGTGACAAAAGTGGCCATGAAGACAGCGTCAGTGAATATGTCATGATTAAAGTGGCATATCCCCGTCACTTTAAAACCTGAAATTGCATTCGTTATAGTAGCAGCTTTAAAGTATACAGGAGCAAATATTGAAGCAATTTGGTAAACCGTAATTACCCGCCCTGGTTGGTTCGTCAGCCATTTTTCACATTCGTTAGAATAAAACTTGTTTAGCGGACTAAAAAAACATCTGTCAAGTGGCTGCATACGGTGACTACTATGATGAGGAAGTGGTAATGCGATAATGTTATATTGTCGAAAAAAATCAATTGCTGCGATGGAACAATGGGAAGTGTGATTATCCATTATCAATAGATAGGTTGTACCTTCGTCGGCTTAGCGTGATCTCTAAAATGTGTAGCATAATCAACAAACAGGTCTTGATTGATAAAACTACTGTCGTATACCATTCCAACTGATGATGGTGGAGCTTCATTCAAAAGTTCTGTCTTCATTCTTTTACGTGGATATATAAATGAGGGAGGAATATATTGTCCACTAGCACTCATTGTCGACTATGAAAAGGCGTTTGATAGTATCGAGATGTGGGCCATAGAACAAGCTATTAATAATTGTAGAATAGACCTCAAATGCAACTATGATAGTACAAACTAGACGAAAATACAAATCCCATCCCCATTAAGAGAGGAGTGAGACAAGGAGACGTAATATCGCCAAGCTTTTCAACCTAGCCCTAGAAGACGTCTTCAAAACTACAAATTGGTCAACCTATGGCATTAACGTTAATGGCAACAAGTTAAACCACCTCAGATTCGCTGACGACATAGTGATTACAGCGAGCACATTCGAGGAACTACAAATTATGTTTGGGGGAATTAGCAGCCAGCTGCCAATACGTCGGCCTAAAAATGAATACGAAAAAAACAAAAATAATGACAAACGCAGAAGACCCCAGACATATAACTATAAACGGCAGTGAGATAGAACAAATCCAGGAATATATCTACCTAGGCCAAATCCTGAGACTTGACAAAGAGAACCAAAGTGCGGAAATTACTAGAAGAGCAAGACTAGCAAGGGCAGGATTTGGAAAACTTAGTTGGATACTTAAGAACCGCAAAATACCCCAATACTTGAGGAGCAACGTGTTCAACCAATGCATCCTTCCTATCATGACATATGGATGTCAAACCTGGACCTTAACCAAGGCAAACATGAATAAACTAGCCACAACAGAAAGAACAATGAAACGAGCAATGTTTGGTATACGACTGGCATATAAAAAGAGGAACGACTGGGTAAGATCCAAAACAAAAGTCGAGGACATAACAATAAAAAGTGCAAAACTTAAATGGAGCTTCGCGAGCCACACTGCTAGACAGAATGACCAACGTTGGAATACTACAATACAACATTGGAGACGTTACGAAAGTAAACGACCAAGTGGAAGACCACAGATGAGATGGGTTGATGACATTAGAAGAATAGCCGGAACAAATTGGAAATATGTTGCTCAGAATAGAGACGGTGGAAGGAGTTGGGAGAGGCCTATGTCCAAACATGGACGACAGAAGGCTGAGAAGAAGAAGAAGAGCACTAATTGTGCATACAACAGTAACATTGGTTCCCCGTTCTGCGCTAGATATTTTAGTGACACACATTTTTCTTTTTGTAGAGAAAATTTTAGGAAACCTGTGTAGGACAGTGGAAAATCCCGATTCATCCATATTGTAAATTGCATGTGGCGGGAATTTATATGTATTCATTAACTTCGAGAGATTTTCTTAAAACCGCTTACACTATGGTTTATTAAATCCAATAGCCCTGGCGACTCTAGTAGCAGTGGGTTGCTTCAAACTAGCATATTTGTGTCGTTTCAAAAATCCACATAGCCAGCCCTTGCCTGCCATTTTTGAAGTTCTATCAAAACGATGTTCTAGTTTATTTATTTCAGAGAACTTAAACGCTAGACTTCTTAGAGTTCTAGAAATTAACACATAAACATGTTGTCTATTATTTTTATATCGTCGCACAACACTTCCTCCATTTCTGCTGTTAAAGTAATGTCGTATCTTCCCAGCTTTGTAGCTAAAGTTGTTCTTTTTAGCCTTTTTCTTAACGTACTTTCCGTCATTCCTATAGATTTTGCCACGCTTCTCTTTTTCTTGCCGCCTCCATAACCACCGGTAAAGTGAGCATAAAGTACGCTGAGAACTCCGTTTTCTGCCAGACACGCTTAAACAAAAGAAAAAATACGGTTAATCCGTTATAAAAAAAAACCTGGTTTATA